TATTTTAGAATCTAGATGAATATGATATAATTAAGATTAAATAATAATTTCTGAAAATATTGTATTAAGTTTAAGGCAGACAGTTTTAAGACAGTTTGCTAAATATTTCAGTCAGTACATATTTTAAATTATTCCCTAAAATAATAAATGGTCAGTCAAGATTGAAAGATGAACTCTTGTCCTGAATGAAAGATAAGATATTTAGCGTGATATTGGGGTCAAAAAAAAGTTTGTATATGACTGCACAGATATGCACATTGTCAGCACTATTCCTATGTGGTGGCAGTTACGAATTTAGTAAATGATCCCTGCTACTAGTGCTAGCATTTAAAAATTTAATAATGATTTTAAATAATAATGATTTTAAATGCTACATTGTATATCAAAATACTGATTTAAAAAAAAAAGACAGACTTTAATGTTTTTGTTTGTTTTGGTTGGGTTTATGTTGCACCAACAGTAAAGTATTCCGTAGGTCATGGTGAATTTGTAATCGAGTCATGAAAAAGTGGAATAAACCATACTAACTCTATTTTTACACTTTCTTACTTATCTCTCTTTATTCAATATTTGATTCATTACATAGAATAACAATAAACTTATTGTGAAAAATTGATCAATGTAGTGCAAAATATAGTCATGGGGCATATTGTCATGAAGTATATCAAAACAGTTATAATTATGATACCTTGTAACAATCATCAAAGTTACAAATTTAAAAAAACATTTACTGGATGAAGCAGATTTTTATTCTTCCAACAACAACTACTTTTACCACAAATTAAAACGTACAAATATTTTGGTATAATTGCATTTATAAAGCCTTACGAATAATTGTAGCTAATAAATTAAAAAAACTTTTTGTGAGTGCATGGGGAAGGGTAAAGGGTTGGATAGAAATAAAGTTTTTTTTAAATTGTGCATAGTCCATGGACAATGATATTAAAATCTTCTGTAGATTGTGCATAATCCATGGACAATATTATTAAAAGCTTCCTTAGATTGTGCATAATCCATGGACAATGATATTAAAAGCTTCCGTAGATTGTGCATAATCCATGGACAATGATATTAAAAGCTTCCCTAGATTGTGCATAATCCATGGACAATGATATTAAAAGCTTCCGTAGATTGCATAATCCATAGACAATGATATTAAAAGCTTCCCTAGATTGCATAATCCATGGGCAATGATATTAAAAGCTTCCGTAGATTTTGCATATTCCATGGACAATGATATTAAAAGCTTCCCTAGATTGCATAATCCATAGACAATGATATTAAAAGCTTCCCTAGATTGCATAATCCATGGACAATGATATTAAAAGCTTCCGTAGATTGCATAATCCATGGACAATGATATTAAAAGCTTCCCTAGATTGCATAATCCATAGACAATGATATTAAAAGCTTCCCTAGATTGCATAATCCATGGACAATGATATTAAAAGCTTCCGTAGATTGTGCATAATCCATGGACAATGATATTAAAAGCTTCCCTAGATTGCATAATCCATAGACAATGATATTAAAAGCTTCCCTAGATTGCATAATCCATGGACAATGATATTAAAAGCTTCCCTAGATTGTGCATAATCCATGGACAATGATATTAAAAGCTTCCGTAGATTGTGCATAATCCATGGACAATGATATTAAAAGCTTCCCTAGATTGCATAATCCATGGACAATGATATTAAAAGCTTCCGTAGATTGTGCATAATCCATGGACAATGATATTAAAAGCTTCCCTAGATTGCATAATCCATAGACAATGATATTAAAAGCTTCCCTAGATTGCATAATCCATGGACAATGATATTAAAAGCTTCCGTAGATTTTGCATATTCCATGGACAATGATATTAAAAGCTTCCCTAGATTGCATAATCCATAGACAATGATATTAAAAGCTTCCCTAGATTGCATAATCCATGGACAATGATATTAAAAGCTTCCGTAGATTGTGCATAATCCATGGACAATGATATTAAAAGCTTCCCTAGATTGCATAATCCATAGACAATGATATTAAAAGCTTCCCTAGATTGCATAATCCATGGACAATGATATTAAAAGCTTCCGTAGATTTTGCATATTCCATGGACAATGATATTAAAAGCTTCCCTAGATTGCATAATCCATAGACAATGATATTAAAAGCTTCCCTAGATTGCATAATCCATGGGCAATGATATTAAAAGCTTCCCCCCTAGATTGTGCATAGTCCATGGACAACGATATTAAAAGGTTCCCTAGATTTTGCATAACCCATGGACATATTATTATTCCACTAACTAGTGACTTTTTTAGCTCACCTGTCACAAGTGACAGGGTGAGCTTTTGTGATCGCTTTTTGTCCGGCGTTCGTCCGTCGTCCGTCCGTCGTCCGTAAACTTTTACTTTAAATGACATCTGTTCATAAACCACTGAGCCAATTTCATCCAAACTTCACAGGAATGTTCCTTTGGTGGTCACCTTTAAAAATTGTTCAAAGAATTTAATTCCATGCAGAACTCTGGTTGCCATGGCAACCGAAAGAAAAAACTTAAAATATCTTCTTTTAAAAAACCCTAAGAGCTAGAGCTTAGATATTTGGCATGAAACATCTTCTAGTGAGTGTCTACCAAGTTTGTTCAAATAAAAGCCCTGGGGTCAAAATTGGCCCCGCCCCAGGGGGTCATTGATTTTCCCTATATGCATATAGTAAAAACTTAAAAAATCTTCTTTTAAAGAACCCAAAGGGCTAGAGCTAAGATATTTAACATGAAACATGTTCTAATGAGTGTCTACCAAGTTTGTTCAAATAAAAGCCCTGGGGTCAAAATTGGCCCCGCCCCAGGGGGTCATTGATTTTCCCTATATGCATATAGTAAAAACTTAAAAAATCTTCTTTTAAAGAACTCAAAGAGCTAGAGCTAAGATATTTAGCATCAAACATGTTCTAATAGGTGTCTACCAAGTTTGTTCAAATAAAAGCCCTGGGGTCAAAATTGGCCCGCCCCGGGGGTCATTGATTTTCCTTATATGTGTATAGCAAAAACTTAAAAAATCTTCTTTGAAAAAACCCAAATAGCTAGAGTTTAGATATTAAACATGAAACATCTTCTGGTAAGTGTCTACAAAGTTTGTTCAAATAAAAGCCCTGGGGTCAAATGCCCCGCCCCAGGGGTGTCATTGTTTTTAACTATTTGTGTATAGTAAAAACTTAAAAAAATCTTCTTTTAAAAAGCCCAATGAGCTAGAGCTTAGATGTTTAGCATGAAACATCTTCTTATGGGTGTGGGGGGGCTATATACAGGTGAGCGACCTCAGGGCCATCATGGCCCTCTTGTTTACTATTGTTTGTTGTTTTTATATTGAATCACAATACCATTTTTAGCTCACCTGTCACAAAGTGACAGGGTGAGCTTTTGTGATCGCTTTTTCGTCCGGCGTCCGTCCGTCGTCCGTCCGTAAACTTTTGCTTTAAATGACATCTCCTCATAAACCACTGAGCCAATTTCATCCAAACTTCACAGGAATGTTCCTTTGGTGGTCACCTTTAAAAATTGTTCAAAGAATTTAATTCCATGCAGAACTCTGGTTGCCATGGCAACCGAAAGAAAAATCTTTAAATATCTTCTTTTAAACAACCCTAAGAGCTAGAGCTTAGATATTTGGCATGAAACATCTTGTAATGATTGTCTACCAAGTTTGTTCAAATAAAAGCCCTGGGGTCAAAATTGGCCCCGCCCCAGGGGGTCATTGATTTTCCCTATATGCATATAGTAAAAACTTAAAAAATCTTCTTTTAAAGAACCCAAAGAGCTAGAGCTAAGATATTTGGCATGAAACATCTTCTAGTGAGTGTCTACCAAGTTTGTTCAAATAAATACCCTGGGGTCAAAATTGGCCCCGCCCCGGGGGGTCATTGATTTTCCCTATATGCATATAGTAAAAACTTAAAAAATCTTCTTTTAAAGAACTGTAAGAGCTAGAGCTTAGATATTTGGCATGAAACATCTTCTAGTGAATGTCTACCAAGTTTGTTCAAATAAAAGCCCTGGGGTCAAAATAGGCCCCGCCCCAGGGGGTCATTGATTTTCCCTATATGCATATAGTAAAAACTTAAAAAATCTTCTTTTAAAGAACCAAAAGAGCTAGAGCTAAGATATTTAGCATGAAACATCTTCTAATGAGTGTCTACCAAGTTTGTTCAAATAAAAGCCCTGAGGTCAAAATTGGCCCTGCCCCAGGGGGTCATAGATTTTCCCTATATGCATATAGTAAAAACTTAAAAAATCTTCTTTTAAAGAACCCAAAACGCTAGAGCTAAGATATTTGGCATGAAACATCTTCTAGTGAGTGTCTACCAAGTTTGTTCAAATAAAAGCCCTGGGGTCAAAATTGGCCCTGCCCCGGGGGTCATTGATTTTCCCTATATGCATATAGTAAAAACTTAAAAAATCTTCTTTTAAAGAACCCAAAGAGCTAGAGCTAAGATATTTAACATGAAACATGTTCTAATGGGTGTCTACCAAGTATGTTCAAATAAAAGCCCTGGGGTCAAAACTGGCCCCGCCCCGGGGGTCATTGATTTTCCTTATATGTGTATAGCAAAAACTTAAAAATCTTCTTTGAAAAAAACCAAATAGCTAGAGTTTAGATATTAAGCATGAAACATCTTTAAGTAAATGTCTACAAAGTTTGTTCAAATAAAAGCTCGGGGGGTCAAAACTGGCCCTGCCCCAGGGGTGTCATTGTTTTTAACTATATGTGTATAGTAAAAACTTAAAAAATCTTCTTTTAAAAAACCCAATGAGCTAGAACTTAGATGTTTAGCATGAAACATCTTCTTATGGGTGTCTACCAAGTATGTTCAAATAAACAAATAAAAGCACTTGGGTAAAAATTGGCCGGGGGGGTGCTATATACAGGTGAGCGACCTCAGGGCCATCATGGCCCTCTTGTTTATTGACTTCCTAAAATCATAATCTTGATGATTGTTATATTTTATAGATTCACACAACAGAGTCAGACATAATTGCCTTGCAAGAAGTGAGAAGTGGTGAACATCCACAGCTTTCTAATCAAATATTAGAGTTGAAGTCAGGACTTCCGTCACAGTTTAAATGGCATGTCTTCAGGGTAGCAAACAATGTATCCTTCATAGACAAGACTATAGACAAATCATACCCAGGAGAAGGTAATACATGTAATATCAGATAAGTATATAGGTTGCTGATCCCTTATATGTATAGTACCTTTGAGTTTTTTTTGCAGTTTAACTTTATGCAGACTTTATTTTAGATTGATTATGTAGGAAATTGTAAGCTTATACAGACTTACACTTGAATTTGTTCCTGGAACCAACCAGTACTGAGCAATGATCTTAAAATTTTTTGCTCAAGGAAACAACGGCTTGGCGTTGTTTTGAACCCATACAGCATGCTAGTCTGATGGATTATCCACTTCGCTATGTAGCCACATTCGTTTATCACTCATCTGTGCTGACAGGTCTTTTTGATGTATATTATTGGCCAACAGTTATAGTAAAGTATTATCCCCAATTTCTTTTGTATAAGTCCCTTATGTATATTATGAAAAAAAGTGCTAAGACTTGTTAAAAAAAGATCATCATAAATTTCAGGTATTGGTATCATAAGTCGTTTACCAATTATAGATAGCTCCACCCATTATCTATTGCCACACCCTGCAGACCCGGACAAAAACAAACGTGTGATAGTACATGTCAGAGTGAAAGATAGAGACGGAACTTCGTATGATATTCTTGTTGTCCATCTGTCATACCACAGGCAGCAACAGTGTAGAAATGTAGCAGATATTGTTACATTTATAACAAGTAGGTAGAAATGTCAAATTATGTTTAGCTGATCTTCATTCATTAGAGACCTGATTTTCATAAAATTATCAAAACAGCATGCCTCAATATTCATACAATTCTTATCCCCACTAGGGTAACCTATAGTTTTTAGCTCACCTGAACTGGTTCAGTGTGAGCTTTTAAGATTGTTGAATGTCTGTAGGCTGTCCACATTTAGTTTTTTAACACTTTTGTGGTCACATTTTTGCCTCAATTGTCACCAAACTTGGTCAGAATGTTTGTCACAGTGATTGCTCACACGAGTTTGAACATTGGTCATCTCAAATGATAAATTAGGTTACAGGAGCCAAAAATAGAAAATTTTAAGCTACAATTTCAGTCCAGCTATCCTTGAAATTGGTCAGAATGGTTGTTTTGATGATTTTTAGCTCAACGTTGAATATGGGTCATCTGAAGCTAGGTCACACAGCATAAATATCATACATGTGACAAATGAAATGGGCCAAATCTGGATTTTCAGCTGGATTTTGAGGCTCAAAACTGGATTTTTTTTATCGACTTGAATTTCAATGCGTGTTTGGCACATTTCGTTCAAAGAATCTATATTACCCTCAAAATCATTAAATGATTATACTTTTTATGATTTTTTTGTGGATCAATATTAATTTATTTCATCAAAAAATAAATAAATAGATAAATAAATAAGTGTAGTCATACAGGCTATTTCAAAACAGTCACATTTTCACATTTCATTATTTTCAGTTTGAAGAATTATATCTGTCTTTTCAGTCATTCAATAATTGTCTACAAGCTATTTGATAACGTACAACAACTATTCATGAACATAAGACTCTGACAGTTAAATAATGTAACATAAGTAGAAGACTCAAAATAAATACAAGAATCGTTCCGTTAATTAAATCCACATTTTTGCCTCGATGATAGTGAAATTCCTAAACAAAACAAAAAAAAAATTACCCACTCACTAGAAATAGGTTAATTAGACATCTCGAACAGGTTTTTGATTCTGCTCAGCTTTTATCTTTATCAGTGCGGCACTAATCAAAGAAAATCAAAGGTTGAGCCGAATTCATACATGTAAATTTACAGGGTAGTTTTGATGACGTAGCGTGTAATACCTCTACTGCCAAATTACAAAAGAGGTCAATTGATTGACACACAACACGTGATAAGTTAAACATGTGAGAATAACTTTGGGTATAGGAATTGTTTATTACGTCACCTGGCTGTCAATTAGTGACTCAACATTTAATCCGCTATAATTTAGGATATGGACATATAACAATCAATGCCCGGAGGCACGGTTTACATTTTAGATACAGGTGCTGTGTTTGATTTTTTTTTATGTTGATTTTTTTTAAATATCGGGAATTCAAGCTGTAATATCGGGAATCGGGATCAGTGTTGAAATATCGGGATTTTTTTAAATCCCGCCGGGATGTCACATGTATGAAATATGTAAGAACCTTGTTAGCATTCTAGAGGAAACATATTCAGCCCAAATATCCTGAAAATTTGGAAATAACCTTGTTAACACTGTAGAGGTAACATTATCAGCCTTAAAAATCCTTGAAATTGATCAGAAAGGTTGTTTAGATGAGTTCTAGCCAAGGTCATAATAAGGAAAAAGTTTTTAAACACTCTTAAAGTAACATTGTTAGCCCAAATATCTTAGAAATCAGAAGAATTGATGCCATGATTTCTTGCTCAAGTTCATTTATGGATGGATCACGTCACATGGGCCAACTTTAAAAAATCTTATAAACACTCTTAAAAGGACTCCACTACCGTTTAAAAGCCTTAAAACATAACATTTTGATTTCTTACATAAAGGAGCATGGACACTTTAAACAGAAATATATGCAAAGGTTACGTTAAGAAATATACTTTGAAATAAATTGAAAATTGTATTTTTATGCTTTTCTTTGCCCGATTTGAGTGAAAAGCATTTAAACGCTTTTCATTTTAGGTATTCTTGGATTTAAAAAAAAAACTACAGCTAATATGAAAAAACCTCATTAACACTCCTGAAGTTACATTTTCAGCCCAAATACCTTTGAAATATTTCAGAAGGGTAGATGCAATGATTTCCAGTTCAAGTCTGAATATGCGTTATCTGGGGTCAAAAACTAGCCCAGATATGGAAAATCTTTCTTAATATCGTAGAGGTTACAATTTCAGCACAAATATCCTGGAAATTGGCTAGAAAGATTGTTTAGATGATTTCTAGCTCATGATTGTGTATGAGTCATCCGGGGTAAAATAAAAAGGTCACACACCCCAAATTTAGGAAAACCTTGTAAACACTCTAGAGATAATATTTTCATGAAAGGTTCCATTACTTGTATTAATGGTAATAAGGAAAATATATGTACATAATGATATCAGTTTAAGATGAAGACATTATATCTAATTTTCATTCATAGTTAAAAATATTTATTGATCCTTGTCATTAAGAGCCCTAATAATCAGATGAGCATATAAGGACCATCATGGCTCTCTTGTTAACTGTTTAGAACAATTTTAGAATTTCAATCTGAAGGCAGCTTCTATTATTAAACTTTTTGTTCTTTTAAATGTATTGAGTGTGGGCAATTTCAATGGCAAAAAACTGAATATTGCTGGCAGTTATATTATGAATATTCCAGTCAATGTTTGAAGGACTGAAAAAACAATGTCAGAAAAAACCTCTCCCAATTATTTTATTAATAGCTCAGACAATCTTTGAAAGACTTTAGATGTGAAAATTGTTTTTATTGTAGTTAAATTATGCCATGAGGGTAGACAAACACACAAAACTTTATCCAAATATGTCTCCAATACAACACAATTTTTGGTGATAGAATTTTTGCACTTCACTTAAACTTGCATTTTCTACAAATTTTCTTGAGTGGTTTTTATTCAAGCTCAGTCAACTTGCAAAGCTATCAATATTTCTAGTCCATAATCTGGACCATCTTAGTCAAAGCTAAAGATTAAATGTGAGTTTTTTATGCCCCCACAAAGTGGGAGCATATAGCGTTGCACTTGTCCATCCGTCCGTACGTCCATCCGTACATCCCGAAATCTTGTGAAAGCAACTCCTCTTAAATCGAATGGCAGATTTTGCTTAAACTTCCAGGGATGAACAACCTTAATGTGTAGATGATAGTAAAGGAAGGAATTTTCGCTTCGACTAAATTTAACAGAATTATGGCCCTTTGTTGATTTTTTCACTATATTCTATGTAGAAATTTTGTGAGCGCAACTCCTCTTAAACCGGATGGCAGATTTTGCTTAAACTTCCAGGGATGAACAACCTTAATGTGTAGATGATAGTAAAGGAAGGAATTTTTGCTGCTACTAAATTTAACAGAATTATGGCCCTGTGTTGATTTTAAGTTTTCAACTTGTGGCACATGTAGTCAAAAAAATATTTGACCTTGAGTCATAAGATTGACAGAACAGTGGCATGAGGGGGCATCCGTGTCCTATGGACACATTTCTAGTTTGACATGATGAGACGATGTATGTTGTAATGCACGTTTTCTTCTCTTGTGTTAATGAAACCTTGGATGTTTGGCTTGTTTTGTGAGAAAAGATATTAGAGCTCAAGATATTTGTTAATTTGTAGTTGATAAATATTGTGATTGAAAGAAAAAGTGCTCATTCATTATTATTGATTTTTCTCTACTGAATAATTTATATAACTTTGACTTTCAGAAAGACGACTTCGCAATGTGATAATAATGGGTGATTTCAATACATACAATGACTATAACTGGCCAATAGATATATTTCTTGATGGGAAAGTAACTAAAGACAATCCTTGTTGGAAAATAAGCCAGAACGTCAACCTTTTTAGACTCAAATTTAAAGATGCTTGGCTGAATGTTAATGCTGAAAAGAGTGGTCTAACCTTCAGTAATATGGTAACTTTAAAGCAACACGCCTCCAGATTAATAAAATAAATCTTCAAAAAAATAAATAATGAGAAAAATGTAATGGTAGTTTAAAAATTATACATACAATGATTGGTCTTTTAAGATTTTTTTTAAGCAACCAATATTAAATACTAATAACTTTGAATGCAACATACCAGTAGTGGCGCATTTAATAACTTAATTTTTAGATTTAAATGCAACTAAACATACATGGTACATAGCAAAGTTGATCTTTAATGATTTCTTTCTGTCTCTCTATCCATCAAATTTTAACTAATTGATCTAAATCAGCTTAAGTGAAGGTTCTGGTGAGAAATGTGCAGAGTTGCATTTTCTTGGCAATAAGATTGTTTAAGCTAGGGATATTTACATACTATATTTGGCTGTTGTATATAGGGAAAAAACACCATTTTACAAATATCAATAATCCTCGTGACTCTTTAAATAGTCTGTTATCATTATGCAAAATATGACAAAATTTACTAATTAGCAAATGAAGAGAAATGTTTACCTTTTTTGACAAGTTACAGGTTAAATATGACCCAAATGATAGATTAAATAACTTATTTTGTGCATGCATGTACACTCGACAAAAAAATTTTCATCATTTTTTGAAGTTTTCACAAAAATTAATTAGGAGGCATGCTGCTTTAACCATTATTGCACTTACTTGAATGTAATGGACTTGTCCTGGTTTAACCCTTTACCTGGCTGAATTTTTTATAGAACTGTGACAGTCTTTTTTTGATTCTTGGGGTATCAAGATGAAAATTTCAAGTCAGTCTGTGGTTAAGGTTAACATTTTGTGAAATTATGCTGTGTTATTTTTATACCCCCCCCCCCCACAACGAAGTTGTAAGGGGGGTACACTGGAATCAGCTTGTCCGTCAAGACATCCAGCTGTCACCGTCCGGCCTTCCATCGGTTTTTCCTTGTCCACCCAATAACTTCTGATTCCGTTGACCCACATTCTTCAAATTTTGGTATTGGTCATGGTTAGTATATGATCCCTATTGATTTTGAGTTCACTCGGTCAAAGATCAAGGACACAGGGGCCTGGACTTCAAAAAGCTTGTCTGCCCAATAACTTCAGATTCCTTTGACCCATAGTCTTCATATTTGGTATTTAGATTGGTTATGATTAGTAGATGATGCCCTTAGATTTTGAGGTCACCGGGTCTAATATCAAGGTCACAGGGGCCTTGACTTCAAAAAGCTTGTAGGCCCAATAACTTAAGATTCCTTTAACCCACAGTCTTCATATTTGGCATGGGGGTTAGCTATGATTAATAGATGACCCCTTTTGATTTTGAGGTCATTGGGTTAAAGGTAAAGGTCACAGGGGCCTTGACTAAAAAAAACTTGTCAACCCAATAACTTAAAATTCCTTTGACCAGAAGTATTCATATTTGGCATGGAGGATAGTCATGATTAGTAGATGACCCCTATTGATTTTGAGGTCACTGGGTCAAAGGTCAAATGGACTTTGACTTCAAAAAGTTTGTCCGCCCAATAACATAAGAAACCTTTGACCCACAGTCTACATATTTGGCATGGAGGTTGATCATGGCCATAAGGTGACCCCTTATGATTTTTAAGTCGCTGGGTCCAAGGTCAAGGTCACAGGGGCCTTGACCAAAAAAGCTTGTCTGCTCAATTGCTTAAGAATGCTTTGGTCAACAGTCTTCATATTGGGTATTGAGGTTGTTTATGACTAGTAGATGACCCCTTTTGATTTTTAGGTGACTGTGTCAAATGTCAAGGTCACATGGTTTTTACTATAATAAGCTTGTCTGCTCAAATGCTTAAGAATGCCTGTCCTCAGAGTATTGATTTTGACATTTTCACATTTGAAGCATGTAGAATCATAACTTAGCATTTTAGGCAGGGAGGTTGTCCTTGAGCTCTAAATGGCCAGTGTTGATTCTGACAAAGTGGTATGCCGTGGTATTCACGCCATGACAGTGGCAGTTCTAGTTCATTTAGTTCATTTACATTTTGCATGATGAACAATATTAACACAATACATTTTGGGATTGGGCAGAAAGCTATGAAAGCTCATGAGTGTCCTCTCCCACTCATCTGTTAATGAGTAAAGTATGAAAAAGGGATGGAACTGTCAGAATATATGCTGGTTAACTAAAATGTAACTTTAATGCTCATTTGCAATTATTTGTTCTTTGATTGTCAACTTTTCCACATAGATAGTTATTTGAATCACCTGTTTTATTGTTCATCATGATATTTAGGTATAAATGAATAAGATTCATATGATATCATATGATTTATCATTACAGCCTTCTCCTGGATTTGAAAGCAGACCAGACAGAATCCTGGTGGAGTCTAAGCTTTCTGTAAAAAATGCAAAAGTTATTGGGAATGGTGAGAGATATAAACAGAGATATAAGGCTGCTGTTCATTGGTCAAGATTCACCACTGTCATCCAATCAGCGTACTTGTCATATCAAGGAGTGGAAGGATATCCATGCAGTCATGATTGTGGACCCCATGGATCATGTCAGTGTGGGGTTTGTGTTGCTATTGGAAACAAAAAGGATTGTCTGCTTCCTTACTGTGATAATTGCATTTCAGATGTATTAGAGAATCTAGTCCTGCATTTCATTATATTTGTCATCGTTCTATTTCATTTGTTTTATTCAGTGGTGTTAATTTTAACAATTGGTGCAAATTCATATGGGGACACCTTACATTCAATTTTAGGATTTAAGTGTTGTTTATTCAATCCAAAGTTATGCAAGTTCAGTGGAAAAACTTTTGGAAGAAAGCAGCAATGTCTAAAATTTTGTCAGATGTGGCCATTGTTTTGGTTTCCACCATATATACAGTTTTTTGGATGTTTAATCATCCTATATTCATTTAGCATATATACAAAACGAGTATTCAAACCAGTGTTAGATTTAACATACACAGTCCTAGAGGAAGAGTTGTTCCCATCAGATCATTTAATGGTTGTTGCACATGTTGTTAAGGAATAAAGAAAATATAGTTAATTTGTGGTTGAATTTTTGTTAGTTTATAGATACAAGTAGATAGAAGATGTCCCCGACCAAAAACTTTTTTAACAAGATTTGCTATACTAGTACACACATTATGAAGTATATTTATCTTGTTAATTTATTTTTAGATCACCTGTCACCAAGTCACAAGGTGAGCTTTTGTGATCACAATTCGTCTGTCTGTCATCCGTCTATCTGTAATCTTTTACTTTAAATGACATCTCCTCATAAACTGCTAAGCGTATTTCATCCAAACTTCACAGGAATGATCCTTTGGTGGTCACCTTTAAAAAATTGTTCAAAGAATTTAATTCCATGCAGAACTCTGGTTGCCATGGCAACTGAAAGAAAAACTTTAAAAAATCTTCTCTTAAAAAATCTAAAGAGCTAGAGCTTAGATATTTAGCATGGAACATCTTCTAGTGAGTGTCTACCATGTGTGTTCAAATAAAAGCCCTGGGGTCCCAATTGGCCCCACCCTGGGGGGGATCATTGATTTTCCTTATATGTATATAGTAAAAACTTAAAAAAATCAAATCTTCTTTTAAAAACCTAAAGAGCTAGAGCTTAGATATTAAACATGAAACATCTCCTAATGAGTTTCTACCAAGTTTCTTCAAATAAAATCCCTGGGATCAAAATTGGCACGCTTAAGGGGGGTATTGATTTTCCTTTTACTAGTATGTATATTGTAAAAACTTAAAAAAATATTATTTTAAAAACCCAAATAGCTAGAGCTTAGATATTACCATGAAACCACTCCTAGTGAATGTTTATCAAGTTTGTTCAAATAAAAGGCCTTGAGGTCTAAATTGACCCGCCCAGTCGGGGTAATTGATTTAACTTATTTGGAAATGTTGTTTTCCCTTAGCAACAGCATCCAGTAATGTTTTTAGCTCACCTGTCACAAAGTGACAGGGTGAGCTTTTGTGATCGCTTTTCGTCCGGCGTCCGTCCGTCTGTCATCCGTCCGTCCGTCCGTAAACTTTTACTTTAAATGACATCTCCTCATAAACCACTAAGCCAATTTCATCCAAACTTCACAGGAATGTTCCTTTGGTGGTCACCTTTAAAAATTGTTCAAAGAATTTAATTCCATGCAGAACTCCGGTTGCCATTATTATTATTATTATTATATACCACATTTCTATAGCACTCTTTTCATAAATAATAAATGTTCAAGAGTGCTTTACATAAATCCAATAAAACATAATCATATATATATATATATAAGACATAATGTACAACATTAATTAAGTAAACCTATTAAACAATAATGATAATCTAAAACCAGTAAAGGATGGTAAGAAATACAGACACATTTAGTTTAAAATCAAGGCTCAATTAAAATTAACACTGATAATATAGCAAAAGTAGTACATGTATGATGATTTATGAACTAACGTCCATAGAACTTTATGAAATAATGTGTTTTGAGAGCTCTCTTAAAACATGGCAAGGTATTACAGTCTCTAATGTCAGGTGGTAACGAGTTCCATAATTTCGCTGCGGCTGTCTGGAAGCACCTGTCACCATATCGTACTGTCCGAGCTTTAGGCACAACTAATGTCATTGAGTTATTCTGGGACCTCAGATTTCTGACTGGGATGTACACGTCTATCATGTCTTTTATATAAGCTGGTGATTGATCGATGAGGGATTTATATGTATAAGTCAAAATTTTATATTCGACCCGATACTCTACCGGAAGCCAGTGAAGGTCACGTAAGATAGGTGTTATGTGGTCATATTTGAGTGTTTTGGTCACAATTCTAGCTGCTGTATTTTGAACATGTTGTAACTTGGTCATTGACTGCTTAGAGACTCCATATAACAGTGCATTACAGTAGTCTAACCTAGAAGTAACAAGTGAATTTACTAGAGATTTGGTTGCTTTAACAGTAAGATAGGGTCTGATGTGACCGATTTGTCTTAATTGTGCATAACAGTTCCTACAGACATTATTTACATGTTGTTCCATCCTCATGTTCGAGTCAAGAAATGCACCAAGATTGCGCACACTAGATGATTGGCTAATTTTCGAACCGTCGACTGTTACTGTAACATCTGAAACAGGTTGTGCGTTATGTTCAGATGAGAAGATGATCAACTCTGTTTTGTCGCCGTTTAGCTTCAGCATGTTGGCATTCATCCAACTTACAATATCTTCAAGACATCTTTCAAATACGGTTTATATTTTTCTGAATTGAAATATTAGTCACTGGTTTGAAGGATAGATAGAGTTGTGAGTCATCTGCGAAGAAATGGTTGTTTAGATCATGTTTACGGCAGATTTCTCCGACAGGTTTCGTATACATCACATAGCTCTTGGGTCCCAGGACAGACCCTTGAGGTACACTGTACTCCATGTGGACTGGCTGTGATAGTTTGTTGTTTATGCATACAGTCTGGTATCGGTCGGTCAGGTATGACGTCATCCATGCGAGTGGCTTGCCTGTAATTCCAAAGTGTCGTTCAAGGCGGCGAAGGAGCGTTCCGTGATCAATTGTATCAAAAGCAGCAGACAAATCAAGCATCACGAGAATAGTCACATTGTTATTATCCAAAGACCGTAGAATGTCATTTTGAACTTTTAACAATGCAGTCTCGGGCGAATGGAACTTGCGATAAGCAGATTGGTTGACCTCGTGTAGATTATTTGTCTTCAGATAGCTCTCAATTCGTACGTCAACGACCTTTTCCAAGATTTTAGACAGGAATGGCAAGTTAGACACAGGCCTATAGTTTTTCAGTTCGTTAGGATCTAGATTTGGTTTCTTTAGAAGTGGTCTTATTCGTGAGTATTTGAACATTTTTGGTACATAAGCAGCATCCAAGGACACGTTTATAAAACTGGTTATCACTGGTGTTAGTTCATCTAGGCATTCTTTTAACAGCCATGTTGGAATGGGATCTAACTCACAGGATTTGGTGGCTGATTTTTTAATCAATGCTTTTACTTCTTGCTCTGTGGTTGGAGCAAACACAGTATATTTGACACCCGTATATTCAGATTCCATATCTACATTATCAGGTACCGATTGTGTTTGAGAACGTATGTTATTCCTTATTGTTTCAATCTTTCCGATAAAGAAGTCACTGAATTTCTGGGCAAGGCGCTCTGAAGATGAATCAAATGGTAGAATCACTTCATTTGTATCTCCAAGTAGACCTTTGGTAATCTTAGATAGACTTTTATGATCATTGCCACAAGACTCTATTTTACTTGTATAGTATTCTACACGAGCTTGTTTTAACATCTTGTTCACACTAGAACAGTGTGTTCTGTAGATCTGATGGTCTATTGTAAGTTTAGTTTCACGCCATTTCCGTTCCATTTTACGTTTTTCATGTTTGGCTTCGTGGAGTTGCTCTGTATACCACGGACAAGCAGGTCTCAATGTAATAGTCTTGTTAATCATCGGAGCATGTTTATCCAAAATAGAGGTTAGACTGTCTAAATACTCCATCATAAAACCATCTATGTCAGAAGGGATACACTCTTTGTTGAAGAATTCCATTTTCCGTATGTCATCTCGAAAAGAATCAATGTCAATTGCGCGAAGTTTTCTGTAAGAAACCAATTTCCGTACCGGTGCAGGTTTTGAGGCTTTGACAGCAAATGTAACAGCAAAATGGTCACGTAAGATATTTCCACTTGAATCAGAGAGTCCAGGATCTACGACCTCTATGTTTGATACAATGTTGTCTGTTTCCCTTGATATCACTACGTCCAATGTATGACCTGCAACATGGGTTGGTTCTTGTACATGCTGATGCATACCACATGCATCAAGGTTACTTGTAAATTTTCTCGTATCGTTGTTGTCTGGTATATCTAGATGAAGGTTCAGATCGCCTACTATGATTGCAGAATTGTCAACTGTAGCGTACTTAGTTAAGAAAAGGGGCCACTCATGATCAAGGAAAGTGTTTGTATTCAAGCCGTTCTGTTTAGAAGGAGGTGGTCTGTATATTACCGCTAGCCTCATAGAGTACCGCCCAATAACTACATTACAGTCCATGAACTCAAATTGTGAGAATTCCTTGCTTTGACTTGACGACTCAGTGGTGACTTGTATAGAAGCTTTATGGATAATAGCTACACCACCACCTCGCCTACCAACACGCGGGACATGTTTCATTTTGTAGCCAGGAGGTACAAGTTCACTGATACACACCTTATCAACGGAACTACCTAGCCATGTTTCAGTTATGGCACATATATCAAACTCACTGGAGAGAATAAAGTCACATATGGATAGGGTTTTGTTTTTCACTGAGCGTGTGTTCATTAAACATATTTTTATGTTTGTTTGGCCTTTTACTGTTGTATTGTGTTCAAGATTTACCCGGATTAAAATTTTCACATTGCACATGCTGAGTGATTTTTCTATACGTCTTCTCTGATTTTCTTTTGTTATTTCTTGGAAAAGTAACTGTAAATTGTCAACATTCACACCATTGTTAGTATCCCAGGCTCGTCTAATCCCATATTGCCCACCTCTGTTCCCTCTGTATTGCATTAACTTAAGTCCTTTCAAAGTGTTGATAATAATATGATTAAGTCCTTTTTGTGAACTTGGTAATTGCCCGATATTATACAGGTCTGACCGTGTATATATAATCCTCGTCGAGTTTCGCTCACTAAAACACATAATTGCTGTATGCTTTAAAAATAAAATATTAAAATGTATAGAATCATCAAAGTTTTAAATTCCAAATATCTTTAAAACCACAAGAGTAATTCACAAGCAATTTATATCACTGTGATTACAAAATGAAACTACGTAATATATCAAACTTTGCCATGGCAACCGAAAGAAAAAACTTTAAATATCTTCTTTTAAAAAACCATAAGAGCTAGAGCTTAGATATTTGGCATGAAACATCTTCTAGTGAGTGTCTACCAAGTTTGTTCAAATAAAAGCCCTGGGGTCAAAATTGGCCCCGCCCCAGGGGGTCATTGATTTTCCCAATATGCATATAGTAAA